GTGCGGCTCCCAGAACTGGACGCAGTACTCCAGCTGCGGCCTGACCAGTGCCGCATAGAGGGGGAGGATCACCTCCTTGGTCCTGCTTGAAATGCATCTGTGGATGCACGACAAGGTGCGGTTGGCCTTCCTCGCCGCCTCCCCACACTGCCGAGCCATGTTCATCTTGGAGTCAATAATGACTCCGAGATCCTTTTCCACCTCCGTGCTGACAAGAGGGGAGTTTCCCAGCCTGTAGGTATGGTGCCGGTTGTTCCTCCCCAGGTGCATCACCTTGCACCTGTCTGTGTTGAACCCCATCCTGTTCTCCTCCGCCCATCCTTGTAACCTGTCAAGGTCCGACTGTAGCCTGTTGCTCCCTTCTATCGTGCCCACATCCCCTCACATCTTGGTATCATCAGCAAATTTGAACAGGGTGCTTTGCACCCACTCATCCAAAGCGCTGATGAAGATGTTGAACAGGGCGGGCCCGAGGACCGAGCTCTGCGGGACCCCACTGCCCACGTCCTTCCAGGCCGAGAAGGACCCATCCACCACCACCCTCTGGGTGCGGCTCTCTAGCCAGTTGGCGACCCATTGGACTGTGTGGGTGTCTACGCCACAGTCCCCCAGTTTCCTAATGAGAACGGGGTGAGAGACATCAGCACGACATGCAAAAATTATGGAGGGCATTCAAAGAAACACCCAGCTCGAGACCATTCTGGTTCTCCCATCATTTGAAGTGCTGTAGGATGCGGTCTTTCTAAACCCATTAGCACTGATTCACTGCTGCTGGCACCAGGGATGGCATTTTGTAGCCCTCTGTGCCAGGGGACTTGCAAGCAAATACCCTCCTACCCCCACATCTTCTCCAAGGGCCCAAGGCAGAAACTTTCCCTGCCCAGTTTCTAGTTCCAGCAGTTTGGGGTCGGTGCTGTTTGCTTCCAGGAGAGGCAGCAATGTAAGTGCAGGGTATGCATGCTTGGCAGTGGCCCCTTCCCTGTGCACTTACAAACCAACCGAAGCTTTCCATGAAAGGGGCCAGGGATACCCTTACAGAGCCCTACCTCTCAAGTCTGAGCTCTCTTTGCTTTGTCGAAAAGGCCCCTGGTAAAATGAACTGTCACAGCATCTTGCTGTGCAACGGTTCCCAAGCAGTGCTCTGCAGCATGTGCCTGTCTGTCTCTGTACTGTGCATAAGTCTGGCACAAGGACACTATTTTCTTTCCCTCTAGCGTGATGCGATTCCTCGTTTCCAAGCGGAAGTTTAAGGAGAGCCTGCGGCCTTACGACGTGATGGACGTCATCGAGCAGTATTCTGCCGGACACCTGGATATGCTTTCCCGGATTAAAAACCTCCAGTCCAGGCAAGAGACTTCTCTGTTTGCTTTACCTCTCTCTCGCCTGTCATCCCTCGTAGGGACACAACACTGTTTCCTTAACACCCATGACCTGTTTTTCTTTCTAAGAAATAGCCTAAAGGGAAACTGTGGGTTTCTGAACATCACCTAAGTGTCAGCGTGTGAATTTTTGGCCCGGAGTACAAACTGGTTGCATAAAACCCATTCGTATTAGTGAGCATAAGGGCAAGTAAGTGTTCCCTGTGAAGTGCTGGCTCACATTGCAGTGTTATCTCATCCCCTGTCTTGTCACAGGACATCCAGAGAGCAGGATCCTGAAAGAGCCTCACTGTACCATGAAACGGGAGCAAATCCTGTTCAGTCCGACTGGGCCAATAAAAACGTATTATCTCCCACTCTCTGGTGCCCCTTGGGAATATTTACAGAGGATTTCTCCTCTCTTGGCTCCATTCATACATGCATTAGGGGTGTTGGTTGTAGCCGTGTTGGTCTGAGGACACAGGCAGACACGGTTCTTTGGGTAAATGTGGTATCTTTTATTAGACCAACTCAAATAGTTGGAAAAATTGTTCTTTGCAAGCTTTTGGGCACAAGCACCCTTCTTCAGGCGTGTTTCTCCATGGTGGAACAGAAGCCCATACGCCAAATGCAGGTCTGTGAAAATGCAAATGTGTCGCAGTGAGGATCAGAGGGAATGGGAGGCAATAGAGGTGACCCGATCCTCCAATTGCACCAATTTGCATCAACCCTATTGTCTCCCATTCCCTCGGATCCCATGCATTTACACTGTCACAGATGCATTTTGCATTTGTGTGCAGATGCATGTATGCATTTTGCATATTGGCGTCTCTTCCACCACGGAGAGCACATAACACCAGCAGACTCTCCCTCCGCCTGAAGAAGGGTGTTTGTGCCTGAAAGTTTGCAAAGACCAATTTTTCCAACTATTTCATTGGTCTAATAAAAGATACCACATTTCCCCAAAGAACCTCGTCTTCCATACATACACGCATGCACCTTGTTCACATCTCATCCCACAAAGTCCAGAGCAGAGAAAATCTCTGCTGGGCCCAGAACACACTAGGGATTGTTTGACAATAACCTCTCCCCGTGAGATTTCCAGGCCAGGTTGGCACCAGCCGGTGGTTTGTATGGTAGACTGGATAAGCAGTAGATAGACTTCTATTCTTCCGGAAGCTTTTAGATGAATGTTGTACTCCATATGGCTCCTCCATCACCGCTCCATTTCTCTTGCTCTCCGTGCAAATACTCTAGAAAGAAAGTCACTTGGCTGACTGGTTTTCAGGTGAGGCTGGAAGTTGCTGTTTTGAATGACAAGGCCAGATTCCTCTCTCTGTTGCATCAGCATAGATAGTAAGGGGTAGGTGATGACTTTCATAATACTCCCCTGCAGGGAGGTAAAGAGGTGGGGGACCCTTAACCCTGCATGGACCCCTGCCTCAGGCACACAAGACTGAGTGCTCATTGACTGCCTCACCCCCAGAAGAGTAGGTAGGGAACGGGCTCATCCTTGGGGCACAATGCACAGGTTGCCCCAACAGAGGTTGTTCCAATGTACTGCATGCACTGAGCAACAACAGATGCTTGCACCCCTGAGCCAGCAGGAAGCAGGGTGAGAAGTGCGCTTCAGGGGGCACCTGAGACATATTCCCTATGGGCACTACTCTTAAGGAAGGCACTACAGATGACCAACCTTGCTTGGTGGTCCCTAGGGCTGCCACTTGAGCCAAAGGGGTTATATTGATGTAAATTGGAGGATTGGGTCAAAAAAAATCTCACGAGGTTCAACAAGGACACGTGCAAAGTGCTGCACTTAGGAGGGAGCAATCCCATGCACCGGGGCAGGCTGGGGGTGACGGGCTGGGCAGCAGCTCTGCAGAAAAGGACCTGGTGGGGACAGTGGACAATAAGCTAGATACGAGCCAGCAGTGTGCCCTTGGTGCCAAGAAGGCTAATGGCATCCTGGGTGCATTGGTAGGAGTGCTGCCACTGATCAAGGGAAGTGATTATTCCCTCTATTCGGCACTGCTGAGGCCACATCTGGAGTCCAGTGTCCAGTTTTGCACCCCCCACGACAGAAAGGATGTGGACACATTGGAGAGAGTCCAGCGGAGGGCAACAAAAATGATCCCGGGGCTGGGGGACATGATTTATGAGGAGAGACTGAGGGAACTGGGTTTATTAAGTCTGCAGAAGAGAAGACTTAGGGGGGATTTAATAGCAGCCTTCAAGTCCCTGCAGGGGGTTCAAAAGAGGATGGAGCTGGACTGTTCTCAGCGGTGGCAGATGACAGAAGGAGCAATGGGCGCAAGTTGCAGCAAGGGAAGTTGAGGTTGGACATTAGGAAAAACTTCCTCAGTAGGAGGGTGGTGAACTCCCCAGGGAGGTGGTGGACTCTCCATCCCTGGAGGTTTCTAAGGCCCAGCTCGACAAATCCTAGCCTGGGATGATCTAAAAGGGGATGATCCTGCTTGGAGCAGGGGTTGGACTAGATGTGACCTCCTCAGGTCCCTTCCCACCCTCCCTCATTGTCTGTGATTCTAACTTAGAGGAGAATATGACCTTTTTTTTGTCTACAGCAATTAAAGCACTCTTTTCTCTCTGCTGTCTCAAAACTATGCAGAGTTTGTGATGACCTTTCAGGTTAGCCCTCAGTGGCCAGCGTCTCACTGGGTTAAAGCTTTACTCAAGCCAACTTCTGGGGTGTTGACATGCACTTTCCTCCGTAACCATTCGTGACTTGCTGCTCGTGTGAAGTGTACGTGGTGTGCTCTTTTCTTCCGTCTGCCGTGTGTCCCATCCTAACAGCTTTCCAACCGCGGATGTGTTCCCATTCATTGAGTTAAACAATCCTACAATCCAATGTATCTTGTTTACTTCAATAACTCATGCTTTTTGAAACGAGCCCAAGATGTTTTATCTGTCACTGTAAGAGCAAGGAGAATATATGTTGTCTTATATCCAACATTTCCAATGGGATATTGCCACATATATACAAATATATTCCAGTGTGTACAGTTTATTGCCTATTATATGCAGAGTAACTCCCATTTTGAGTAGCAGCAATCTCCTGAATCTTGTGTTTTGTTGGATAAGATTTGGCATATTCATGAATAATCAGGCGATATAATACTGCAATCTGTTTCGAGCGGAATATATTTTCGAAATTCTCTCTCTTTTTCTCTCTCTCTCTCTCTCTCTCTCTCTCTCTTTTTCTGTCAGTTTTGGTTTTTTCAGTTGTTTCTTAAGTTTCTACAACTTTCCGACCAACTTTTTCCTACATGTGGCTTCATTATGCATTTTGCTGGTGTCTTTTTTCTTATTTACTTTGCCAGGATAGATATGATTGTGGGTCCCCCGCCCCCTTCAACTCCCCGGCATAAGAAGTATCCAACCAAAGGACCCATGTTCTCTTCCAAAGAGTCACCCCAATATTCGCCTAGGTTAGGATTTGCCAAAATGCCGCTTTCTCTGGATTTTTCATTTGCTTAATGTCAAACCCCTTTCACGCCAGGTTATATGACGGCATGTACCACTTAGGAAGGCAGCTCGCAAACTTCATATTCAAAATGCCTCTCTATTCTGGATATGCTTTGATTTACTTTAGTATCGGGCTTTCACACATAAGACAAGCCTTTAAAAAAAAAAATCACCCATATACTTATTGGTTTCCTCAGCCAGTAATCTTAGGTTTTCCTCTTGCAGATGTTTGGGGTGGCAATGTCATCATTTTGCTAGGGTACTGTAAGTCCATTGTAAAAGACTCCAAACAGACCCAGAGCTAGCAGGATTTGCTCTCACCCTCTGAAAAAGAGCTCAGTTAAGACATCTGCTTTCTAAAGAAAGGAGCACCTCGCATAAGGCATGCATCTGCAAACCAGTTTAAGCATACGTTTTCAGGTAGCCATGCGTGTTCATTGAAGTGAGCATGCTGCTTGTGTTTCTTTCAGTGGATGATATAAAAACCAAATGTTTCATCTTTAAAAATAAATCTAGTAGGGACCATTTATATCCCTGGATGTAACTCCACTGGCCAGGGAAAAGGCATGGTTTTAAAAACATTACAGACATTTGGCTGACTATAATAGATGTTTTTCAGACTAGGTGCAAAAACAAAGCCAAGACCTTTTAGCAAAATCCTGGTCTCAATGAAGGCCTCAACAGGAACTTTAGCATTGGTGTCAGTGGAGCTGTGATCTTTCACTGTAGATAGAAGTTGTTGTATGAAAATGTTAACCCTGTATGTTATCAGGTAAATGAAAAAACAATGTATATGCACATTATAGGTTGCATTTTCACAGCTTGAGTCAGGCCTCACTTTTTGGTCTGGGGTGCACTGTGAGCTTATATGATTTGTGCCCACGGACTCATGCCCACAAAGCATATTGCAAGTATATGCACAAGTAGTTTCCGCAATCAGGCCCCTCAAATCGCACATTGTGGAGTCAACACAGGAGACGTGAATTTGGGTCAAAGTGTAGTTCAACCATCACATCTTAGTGCGAATATCACTTGTGAGCATACGCTCACATTCTGCACACACAGTGCATGGTTTAGCCACAATGATGTCATTTTTTAAATATCACGTCTCCCAACCTACTTGTCTTCACTAAGAGCTAAACATGTGGCAGAAGTGCCATTTTCCAGGCAGCTTTTTTTGAGCAAGCCGAGCTTGGGAAATGAACATGACAAGACAATTAAAACCTTACCGGTCCACACATTCGGCTAACTCAAATATAGGAAGACAGAAAGATCTGGCACCCAATCAGCAAAGCCTGTGCATAGCAGAGCAAGGAGCAACGGGCTCAAATTGCAGCAAGGGAAGTTGAGGTTGGATATTGGGAAAAACTCTCTCACGAGGAGGGTAGTAAAGCACTGCAGCAGGCTACCCAGAGAGGTGGTGGAGTCTCCATCCTTGGAGGTTTTGAAGACCTGGATAGACAAAGCCTTGGTGGGATGATGCAGTTGGGGCTGGTCCTGCTTGG